TTAACCTAATGACCAGGTAGTACAAGTCCTCTCCTGATTGGAAGAAATACTACATCCCCATCTGCAACTTGCCCCTTTGCAAGCCGTAACCTTTCGGCACAAACAAGTTTCCTGTCTACCATAAGTGCGATTGGACCAACATATTTCCCTGACAAACCGCTGAGGCTTACACCTTGAGGTACTCTTCCAGCGTGGGAGGCTCTACTCCAAAGTACTGTGAAATCTGGTTGCCGCCGTTCAGGCAGGAGTGGAAGTTTGACAACAGTGTTGCTACCTTGTACTGCGTCGCTACAGGGCTCAGCAGGAACTTCTGCTGGCACTTCATGTCAACGAAGGCCCACTTGCTAGTCATCTCCTTGAACCCCCATTCGACCGTCACTCGGCATTGGCTCATGCTCTTGTTAAAGTTTCTGATGGCGGGCGTAAGGGGGGCATTGACAGATGCACTAAAAGGGCACTGTATGTGATCGGTCTGACCGTACGCTGGATCACCATACAAGCAATACGGGTGGCCTGAAGGGCTGTTCATGTGGGTCTGTAGCTTCTCCAGTAGTGCAGACTGCGCAAGCAAGTAGCGGTCGTGCCTCGTTCCAACCTCTGCGCCGTACAGGTCAACAAATAGCCCGTCTGGCGTCACGACTCCTTGGAACTTGATAGCGTGCTTCCTCTTGTACCCGTTGTAGAAAAAGCGCTCGTTGCGTATAGGCCTGAGACGCAAACATCGTCGACAACATGACGCACGGGGTGGTCGATCTATTTTCTTGCATCCGACAATGTTTTCGTGAGGTTTGCCGCATATAGCGGAGTGCATTTTGTTGCGTCGTGTTGGCAAAAGCACTTCTGGAATCTTCCCTGTAGTCTAGGGGTCGATGTTACCCACCTTGCTCCGTATTCGTAAAGTGAACCCGTACGAGTGGTTGTTGTGGTTAGCTACCATTCGCCAAAGTAGAAATAGAAATGTAGCGGGACATACATGACGCCGTTTCACCCAAGTGCTTTTAACAACTACCACCCATCAACGGGGGCACGGCTTCCGGATCATACCTTGCGATACCGCGCACAGTTCCGTCGATGAAGGCCCAACAGTGTGTCAGGGGACAACCTTTGTTGTAAACCGCCTCCGCAAAAGTACGAAGCTTTGGTACCAGCCGTTGAACGTCCAGCGAGAGGAGGAACCCCCACTTGAAGTCCATTGAAGTGTAGCATCCAGTTGAAAGTCTCGCAGATACAGGATTCGCTCAGGCCTAAAACCAGACGCATGTCCTTCAACCGGCACGGAAACGCAAGTCGGTACAGCAGCACGCAAAGAGCCTTTCGTCCGCCCACCACAAAGCCACACTCTGTCCGAATGATGGCAGGCACCATGAGCAGTTCCAGCATGAGTACGATCTGCCGCACAAAAAGATCCGAAGCAGCACGGGTGGCCAGAGGGCAGGTTGTGGGTGGGTTGTGGGCATCCACAAGGTAGGGCAGGTTGTAGACAGGGGTTGGGAGGAGATCCCAACCTCCGCCAAACGGCTTGGTTGTACAAGGACGGATTCGGAAGGTTGGGAGGCAGCCACAACGTCAGGCCACACCTCTTGGTTGTGCAAGCACAGATCACACGGGTTGGGAGGCATCCACAACCTTAGGCCACACCTCTTAATTGTGCAAGCACTGATGATACAGGTTGGGGGGCAGCCACAACCTGTATCCAGACCTCCTGGTTGTGAATACACCGGTGGCGCAGGCTGGGAGGCAGCCACAACTCAAGGCCAGACCGATGTTGCTGTACTTTCCCTGATCATAATGGTTGGGGTGTAGCCACAACCTGTATCCAGACCTCCTGGTTGTGAAAACACCGGGGGCGCAGCTTGGAAGGCAGCCACAACTTTAGGCAAGACCGATGTTGTTGTACTTCCCCGATCATAATGGTTGGGGGTTAGGCACAACCTGGATCTAGACCTCCTGGTTGTGAAAGCACCGGTGGCGCAGGTTGGGAGGCTGCCACAACTTTTTTTAGGCGAGACCGATGTTGTTATGCTTTCCCCGATGATAATGGTTGGGGAAAGAAAGCCACAACCTTAGGCCAGACCTGCTGGTTGTGAAAGCACCGGCGGCGCAGGGTGGGAAACATCCACAATCTCAGGCTAAACCTCCTGGCCGTAAAGGCACGGATGGCTGCGATAGAATGTGCCACGTGGGTGTGGAACGTCCTTCCTGCCGAACTAGAAATATAACAACCTCTAGAAACAATTGGATGACTTGACGGTTGCATTACCAAGATGATACGCATACGAATTACAGCAAAGCATGAAGTTAGTGCAGTGAGTAATAGTGAGGCTCTCGCGACCGCTCGCTGTGAAGACTTCCACCAGGTATTTACTTGACATATGCACATGTCCGCGCAGTGGCATGCTCATCAGTTCCGCGTGCAAGCCCAGCACAATATCTACGTTCACGCACGTTCTGTATCGCGTAGATGACGCGAGTTCGACGCCGTCAAGGCTACAAAAGAATGTAGTTTCTCTTTTTTTCGCCGCCGGTCTCACTACACTCGCATTTTTTTGGGCATGGACGTGGCGTTCTTCTGCACCTTACATGTACGCTATTATTTCTTTGAAATAATGAAAAGGTTAGCTACTTTTGCGGCTGCCCACCATGCTTGACCTTCAAGTCTCTATACGCAGGTAGGTCCGCAACCCGGCATCCAGATGGCGTGTATGTTGATCTTTCATTTAACAACATTTATTGGGAAAACGTCTAGCCGTTCATCGGCGACTCTTGGGTGGGGAAGCTGAACACTTGCCTATCGTATATGACACAAGATAACACACACCCTGGACCGATTTTCAATGCTCGATTACTCCCCGACGAAGAGGATGCATAAACGAAATGAAATATTTTCAAAAAGCTCTCGACGAGACGGTTTCAACGCCGCCGTTTTCGGCGCTGTGACTGTTCCTGCAGTTGAGAAACCGAGCTTCGAAAATCGGTTAAGGGGGTGTGTTATCTTGTGTTATATACGGTATGTGCCTCGTTCCGTCTCGCTGGCGAGTAAATCTTTGAGCGCAGCCGGTGCAAGCAAATCCGCCATCAACATAAATATCAAACTTTGGAGGCATCACCGGATCTTCCACTACGCCGCCCGCTTGCGCTGACGTGCTGATGGCACCCACGACGCCGACCTACCTGGGCACTCGGATGAGGGGGGCTCAAAGCCGCATTCTCTTGCGGGGGGGGGTGGGTTACTTGCTTCAACCCCCTTCTGTGTTGACTGCCTGGTGTGAGAGGGCGTGGCTCGCGAGCGATCTCCTCGTGGGCAGACATCGCTCGATCTTTGGCGACAGAAGAGTGGCGACACGTGGAGGGATAGGTGGACAAAGGGGGGCGTTTCATCAACCTTCGTTCCCCTGATGAACGCCTTCTGCGGCAGTTCTCCGCGCCACGCGCCAGCGCCACATGCAACCACAATTTTTCCGTCCTCTGTCCCGTCCTTTCTTCCGTTCACCTTCAACATGTCCCAGAACCAGCACCGTCTCACTCCGTCGTCGTCCAACTCGCAAAGGAGGCCCGCCCGCAACAGCTCTTCTGGGGGAGGGTCGTCCTCCAGCGGTGGTTCGAGCGGTTCTTCCAGCAATAAGCGCCGCCACACCAACGGGTCCGGCATCGGCAAGAACAGATCCCGGTGTGCTGCCATCTTCGACGTCATGGAAGAGGAGGACGAGAACGTCGACCCCCGACAGGCCGTCGCGGATTTAGTGAAGGTGAGACCGCGGGTGTTGGAGCACACATCTCGCACATAGTCTCCGATGACTGTACAATAGCTAGTCAAGTGCACGTCGTGCTCTTGTCCCGGTAGCATGCGTGGCTTGCTGCAGGTCATACGCTGAAATGTTCATCAGCCAGACCTGGAGTCTGAAACCCCGACATTCTCGTCCTGCTGTGGCCCACCGATCCCCTCATGCATGTAGCATGATGTGCTACTGCCAGCCTTTCTCGTGTTCATTCTTCTACTTCAACCGCTGGCATCTGCGCCTCCTGTCCACACAACCCTTGTTGGAAAAGGTCCGAGAGACTCCATGTTCGTAAAAGCAACCATTCAAATTCCAAGGTAGCGGCGGAAGTAGCAGTAGAAGTACGATACTTACTGAAGTGTACATACAACACCCGCGGAGAATGTTATATTTTTGATCCGTGTGCTGTGACACCTGTTGCGCTTTATTGTCACCTGTTTGCCTCCCGTGGCACGCGCGCGGGGGGGGGGGGGTGTAAGCACGGCTCCACATTTTAGTCGCCGACACTGCTCTCCTCTCCGTATTTTTTACCGCGTAAGCCTCTGCTCCGCGACATTCCGGTTCTCACGCGACCAACAGGACCACTTCGACCCTATGTGCACAACCTACAAGTACCTGGTTATTGGTTTGCTTTTGCATGGCGTATCAGCCGCACATTCCATTCTACACCTACAACGCATTCTCAAAGAGCCTCGTTCCTGGTGCTCTTCTGCGTGGTGGGCGATGACCTTCAAACAGCCGGACTTTCGCCCTTTCGCCTCGACGACGTTTCCACCGCGTCTCATCCTTTTCTCTTCTCCCTCATAAACATATTGCGATGAATACCCTCAACTCCATGTGAGCTGAGGTCCCAATATGGCGAGTTGGTATATGCCCACCACCGGAGGCAGGCTAGTTTCCTCTGTTGAGATGTGACGAGGAATATCAAGCGGTGACCGAGCGTGCTAGGTCAAGGCTAGGGTATGGTTGCGAGTTGCGAGTAGGCGTTGGCCGAGACCCTTCCTGGCTCTCGGTACCAACCCTAAAGATCCACCACGACCCCTGTCGGAGCAAAGAACTCACAGAGTAAAATCCAGAGCAGAGCGATGAATTATCGTGTGTCAAAGGTTTATGACACCCTCTATGTGTGTGTAAGTTATAAGAAGATGCGAATATCCCGGCTTCCACAGTACTGATGTAAGCCCAAATGGGAACTTTTTGGGGACACGGCTCTCAAATTGCCTATTTGCCGCGCCGTGGTCGTGAAATGAAGCGGAAATATTTGCCTGTTGTCCATAGCATAATTGTGGAGGCGATACGCTGTGTCATGTACTGCTATGTAATACCTGCGTGTTGTGTGCCACTCCTGGGCCCCTCTGACTTGCTGTACACAATCCCCAAAGCCGTGGGTCCCTTGTTCGTAAAACTGCTCCTGTCCAAACTTCGTACACATAGCATACAGCAGTAGTGCTGCTAAAGTTTGGCTGACTGGCTGCAGCAACACTTTCCACACTGGAGCCAAGTCAGCCTTGGGCCGTCAGGACTGTACAGACTCTTGTGACCCATGACCTTGCACTGACTGCCTACGAGGGTTTATCTTTACCATTCTGTTACACAGAAAGCTTTTTTATCGCATTTTCCCTTCTCTACTGCCTTGACACTTGAGACCGCTCCATGTCTCTCGCCCTCCTCCCCTCGCGCTTATCCACCGGACGGGGAAGGTATGACCTACAACATAAACAAGCATGCAAGTACCGTGGTTTCCTTCGTGCATGGGACGCAGGTCAAACGGCCTCCCCCCCTTCATCCACAGCACACGCATCTGACATCCACGTGCCTGCCCCGACGTGTCTGCTTGTTGTCAAACTCGCGGAAGGCGACATCGAAGCAAGCAGTTGCCTCTTCTATCCCTGAGGCCGCCGGCGCCATGTCGGACGCCATGCACGTCATGGAGGGGTGCCCCGCGCTACGTTCGGCAGTGCTTTGCCGCCTGGCCAACGCCGAAGGCCTGATGGTGAGAGACTACACGTCAAAGCATCCAACCAATCCGAAGCGTTTGACGGAGAAAGGAGCCACAAGCAATTTACGGTCCTGAGACGTATACATATCTAGGTGGTCGGACGAGGGTATTTTCGAACGTAGATGTCGGATACGAAAGCCCCCCGCACGTGGGCGTCGGGTATTCATTTCCAATCCTTTGATTGAATCACCGCAAACACACAAGCCACTCAGGTTGGAAGTTCGTGATCCCTGCACGTTCGATTTATATTTCTCGACGAAATATTTGACAGTTTTGTTCGAGTTACCCGCGACCAAGAGTTTGTATTGTACACAAGCGTGCACCTACAGATTTTATTGCTGTAAACGATCAAGTATCCTTTCCACAACTCAAGGCTGATCCACAACGATATTCGGGGTGTGCTTGAAAAGCTTCCGAAGGCAAAGTCAGGGGTCGCGCGCAGATGCTGCCGCCACCTCTCGCGGTTCTCTAAGCCCGGATGACATGCACCCACATAAAAGTATCGGACAGCATCAGCGGAAATATCTCGGCATGCATCCCGGGAAATCTGTTTCATGTCCCCGCCCCAGTCATAATGCAGCCGCATAAAACTCCGGAATGGCCATTCAATATGCCCCCCCCCCCCCACCCCACCCACCCGAAAAAAATCAAAACTACGCACGCGCACGTGCTTTCTTCGATGCACTGAGCTCACGTATCTCTTGTATTTTGCTCGCGTACACCCCTGGTCCGGATGTGAACTTCTTTCAGCAATGCCACTTCCATTGGCTACGAAGCCAATGCACCCACCTCACGCCCTGCCGCTTTTGCATGTTTTCGCTCCAGTTCGCTTCCCAATCGGATATTGGCAACGCGAAGGCTGAACCAGAGAACAAGAAGACGGCGTTTTAAAGCGCTGCCTTCCACCTCCCTCATTTTGCCGTTCATGGCATCTGCCTGACGACGATCGACTGCAGGGAGCACAGCCTGCTGAAGGTGGTTGGGTACTTGTGGGGTGAATGGGACCAGGAACGACCCATCACCCAGACCGAGCTCTCGAGTAAGTCCCGATTTCGGCCCTGCGCCTTTTGGTCAAGCTCCACCTGGTACACCTCCTCCACCGTGTTGTTGAACGTCCTTTCCTCGTGCCTTTTGTCGCACCCTGGTCCCATGTTGATGCAAGCAGGCGACGAGCAGTGTTCCCTACATATTACGTAGGCCTCATAGTAGCAGGTTCTGTGCAGCGAGTGGTCGTGGGTTTTATTGCAACAATGGCCATGGTATGGCAAGAACGACAAAGTCAAGTTTCCATCCTTGGTAGTGGCTCATGCGGTACCAGGCTGTCTCCTGCTGTC